TAAACCAGCTGTTGTCTAGGGAGCATCAGTAAAAGCACTTTAAGCAGTTTTGCCTCTTCCACGTGTGCTGAAATTAATACTTTTTTCCAATAACAGTTCATTATTTTGTGCCTTTGGAGACCAATGTGCTAACCCAGGGGCACATGGGACCAGAGCTCTTAAGACCTGGTAATTGTTGGATAATTGTCTGTGTGTAACGTGCAGGGATGCTGTCATGCTCACACTTAATCCTGTACTTTGCTCCTGTCTTACTAAAACCACCTTTGTGACTGATTTCAAACACTTTCTAAAATGCAGATCCCTAGCCAATATTTTGCTTTGCTGTTTGGCTTTTGCATTTTCCCCTCCCTTCAGCTGATGAGAAGAGACGAAGGCAGACTCCCTGCTGCTCTCTGCCTGGCTCCTACGAGAGTCCCTCACGCCGCAGCCCTTCCTCCAGGCTCGCGAACCTTGGCCACGTCTTAGAGCTCGTTATTAAACCTCCGTGTGAAGACGTGGGGTTCGACGCCGTGCCGTGTACTAGAACATTCACCAGAGAGTAGAAGAGTTTATTGCACGCAGCACCCGGTGTAGTCACAAGCTTTGAACTGTCGGTGGGGAACTGGTTGCTCACACAGCCCAGGGCTATCTGCAGTTGGAAGAGGCGGTCTCTAAAACCAGGCGAGCCATCTGGTGCGGACCTCCAGTTTCATATTTCAGGGGATGAACTCCTGCAGAGTTCACTATCGGCTGCTTTTGCAAAAGCCTCCGGCTCTGCAGAATTAGGCGTCTGATACCCCTAAGTTAAACATGTGGTTTTTCCTTCTGCCCCTCCATCGAGAGGCCTTTTTCCTGCTGTACGGAAAGGAGCAGGATTGCACACTGAGCTGGAGAAATCATGGTCAAATGTTCATTTTCTATGTCTTCCTTTTTTTGGTGCCCAATCTGAAATATGTTGGATCTCACTTTCTGGGGTGCTGAGTCCCTTCCGTATGAGCTTGGTGGAAGGTGCAAATGCCATAACCATCAATGTGCTCAGTGCTTTCACAGAAAAGCTTTGCTGAATCTTGTTGCAGCTGTTTAAAGTGCTGTCTGGGCCTATTGGCCACGTCTCTCCTACGAACGCGATGCAGTCAGTGGAAGGGATGTTCACCTGTATCTCTGCCGCTGTGCGGTGCTCAGTTATTTAGGTTGAACCGCTGGTGCAGGAGGGTTTGCACGTGCTGGGCTGTGGTTGTACTGGCTGAGGCCCAGCTTGTGTTCCCTTCTGCTATGAGGGGCAGAAACTCCAGCAGATGCGTAGGGCAGGGAACGGGGAGCAGTAGCTGTTGCAAGCAATATTTACCAGCGCTTGTCTGTCAAAGCTCTTTTGAGACCATTTTTATAGAATCATAGAATATCTCAAGTTGGAAGGGACCCATAAGGATCATCGAGTCCTACTCTCAAGAGGGAAACGTTCATCTTTGGTTGAAGACGTTCACCTCTGACTCACTGGAAGTCCTGGAGGGAACTGGTGTGAGTGCCAGAGTTAGGATTGCGGAGTTCTTGATGGCTAGCACGTACATAAGCCACAGTTCAAGGTTTTGTGTCTCTCCCAGCCCTGCTCCCGCCCCGTGTCTCCTCATCTGCAAAGGAAGAAACGTGCGTTTGGTGCAGGTGTTGGAGTGGGACTTCACTGGCTCTGTCCTGCTGCTGCTTTTTGCTTCGTTGGTTTTTAACCAACATGTGTGGAATGCACAATCAGCATCTTGGAGAAGCAGTGGTAGGAAAGAGGAAGCTCACGCAGAATATAAATAGCCAAATTTTAAACTGTAGCAGTGTAGCAGCTTGCCTGGCTCTTGGCATGAGCCTGGCTGAAGACCGCTGGGAAGCTGCGTACTTCGTGTGTGGTTTGCAAAGGGGGAACTTTGGGGGATATCGCACAAGTCAGCAAGACAAAAAATGAATGAATCTGACAGTCTTGAATATAGGAAGGAAATGAAATTTGCTTCTACACACATCGAAATTGGGTGTATCCTCTGCTCGTGACATGAAATACAGAGTGAAAACCCCTGCACAGTTATGGCAGTACTTTCCACTGTAGTTGCACAGAGGCTGCCAATGATTCATGGGTTGATCCTGGGACATTTTGTCCTCCCATATGATTTGATTTCTTTATTAATTTAATTGCATCTTTAAAAGCATCTGATTTTTCTTGATATTTGTGTCTGGGGTTTACAGCTGCCCAGCCAAATCTCTTTTTTGAGTTAGACTGTCCAGGAGTCTGGTCCTGCTGGACCCAGAGCTTTCCTCCAGCCCAAAGGCAGCGTAACTGGAAGATACGCAGGGCAGAGCTGATCTGCAGGTCGGGTGATAAAGACTGAGAGAGAGCCCAGGAGAGCTGATATGCAGCACCGTTGGTAGCGATCCCCCCTCTCTATCACTCCCCCTTGGGCAGTGGGCTTGCGCGCCCAAGAGGCATCTACTGCTGTCACTTCTGGAGGACGGCACATAGCTGTGAGCACCAGGGTCTGATGGTCTTCGTGGGCAAACTAGGTAGAGTTCCTATAGCTTTTCTTTCTTTTTGTTGGAAACAGCATCTATAGGTAGAAGAAGGACAACTTGGCTGACTTGGGATCGAGTTAGGTAGCATGACTGTAGGTGGCTGATCTAAAGCGGACGCGAGGCTTTAGCAGTGCCGGCAGCTCTCTCCCGAGGTTGTGCCAGTGCCCCCGATTCCCAGCTAAGGCATCTCTGCTTGTGGGGTTCGGGGTGACTCATCTGGCACCTTGACCCTGTGAGCTTTTGGTGGAGAGATGGAGAGGTGATGGGGGAGAAGCCCAGCTCTCTCGGCTGCCGGTGCCTTTAGCTCACCTTCCCCTCGCTGACGTGTTTGAACGGCTTCGTCTTCCCCGCCCCGGGGGTGGCCGCTCTGGCGGGGCTCCCAGCGTGGATGTGACACGGGGCTGCAGAGTCGGGGTGGCTCAGGGGCTTGTTCGTGCCCCTGTCGGTGTTTCGGCTGGGTAGTGCCAGCCATCGGGGCTCGGGGCTGCCGGCCTGCCTGGGCCTGGCCAGCTAAACTGCGGGGCCACTGGGCTCAGATCTGCACTACCCCCAGCAGCCAGCATCGTTAGCCTGGGGGATTTATCGAGGCAGGAGGGAGATGTATTTTCACGTCACCAGGGCACGCCATGCTGGGGAGCGAGTGCCTTTTCCATTCTTGAAATTCAGACCTTTTTATACTTGAACATAAATTTATGCCCTGATTTATCCCGGAGCATAGAACAAGAGGAGGACTGATGCAGGTGTCTGGAAGGACGTCTGGCTGTCCGCTGCCTTGTGAGGGTGCTGTCAGGGTTGGTCTGGAAGCCAGTGAATCCCAGGAAAGACTTCTGATGTTCACAGCACAGCCGAAGTTAGGAGCTTCAGCAAACAAACCTCTTGATAGTCTGGCATGAAGTGAGGAGAGCAGGTTCA